GGGGCTCAGTATCCAACGAAGCACGTCATTAAACATGGCCAGGAACCAGAGCACCATTATGGGCACACGGAATTGTCGGAAGTTAAATGCAGAGAAGAAGAGCATGTTGAAGTCCTCGTAGCTCTTGTAGGGTGAGTCATCGTAGCAGAAGAAAGCCTCACCTCCGACCCTCTGTGGATGCTCTCTCAGGGCTCGAGCTGCAAGTACATGCATCCAGGCAACATTGCCTAGCAAACAAGTGGGTGAACAGACAATTAACTTAGCAGAAATACTTAAGCAGTAAAATGTACTGATGAGCCAAGGGGAAGAAGTCAGTCTGAAGAATGATTCCTTGTTCCATTTTACACCCATTCAGTTTGTTCTAAACAGATCTTTGATTCTGATTTGATCAGATTTGATTCTGATAAATTTAAAAAGTACTGTCTGAATCATGTTTTCCTAAAAACATTTTGGACAAAAATCATATTTACTCGAACAACAATGTTTTTTAAACCTTATGTACAATATAAATCATTCAAACAGAGATGCAATGGCATATAGAGGCAATAAGTCATGAATCATTACATCAAAACTGTGGGGAATTACAACACTTGAACTGACATCATTCTTAACATCAGCATATAGCATGCTACACCCATTTACAAAAGATCTGTAGTATCTAATGTACTAAGAGTGAACTCGCATCCCCAGTATTTAGCAACTATACATCCTGTTTACATCAAGTCTAGCAGGCCACCTGTAGAATTTAACGTATACTGTAGCTCCAGTTCTATAATATCAGCATCTGTTAGGGTTGCTTCAAATTTCAGCCACCGATACTCATAAGACTGATACTTGTACTCAAATGTAACACTGATGATTACTAACATGGTCATTAGTGTCAGGTGATGACTGAATATCAATTATCAGCACTGAAACCAGCAAGTTGAGACAGATTAGAAATGTTATCTTCACACTAGACAGGTGTGTAGACTGATGCTGATTTGGATCGGATTCTCCCTCTGTTCAGCTTCTTCATGCTGCGCCTTCTCTCTGTGTTTTGAAGTTATAGCATTTGTACTATAGACTCCCTGCCTAGCAGGTATCGAGGAGTCAGCTTGAGAGCACATCACAGGTTTTTTTTCAATTATGGTCTGAACTGGCAGTATTGTAAAATGTTTATGCGGTTTCCTGTAAAATGCAGAGGAAGTGGCGGCATAACAGCTCGACTTCTGCTTTTAGTCCTGGTCTGCACATAAGCCATCACACTACGCTTTTATCAGGTTCTCCTTTGTAATTTATTTGTCTTTGCTTTCACAGCTAAACATAAAACTGAGGTTGGTGAGGAGTCTCAGACTACATTCAATGTGCCTTTGAAACTGTGGCCTATGACGCACATTTTAGACTTACCTACATAGACCCGCCCATGTTCAATGTGGTCTGGGACACCCCTGATAATGAATCCCCCCCTTTCAACACTCTGTTGGTAGAATTCCTTAAATAGCTCGTGCCCCTCGCCATAGATCCCCGTTGGCCTCAGGGAGCAGGTGTGTAAACACTTCCCACCCTTCACCTGGACAGGTGACAAAACCAAGGTTCATTGTTAAGAACAGACAAAAAACACAGAGGAGTCAGAGGATACACTGTGTTGACTCTGTACACAGCAGGAGTGAACACACAGCAAACCCACAATGGGATGATCTGGCATTTTGTGGAAAGGTTGTGTATGAAATTTCCTCATAATGTTTTTCCAAGAAAGAATCCAACCAAGCATAGAGCAACAAAACAAATTGCTACATATTTCTGGATTAGGAAACCAGAATATACAATATGCTAGTAATCAGTAATATTCACTAATGCATCAGTTCTATTGTATCATTACAGTTTTCATTTTTATTTCAACATCACTGTTTTGTTTTGTTTTTTTTTTGGGGGGGGGGGTCTCATAGTTTGTAAATAAATCTGTACCATTGTTGGGAAAGTCTTAGAATGCCAGGGTAAACAATAAGAATGTAAGCTTGTAGAAATTACAGAACAGTCAACACACCACAAACTGTAACTGTTTATCTGTGAAATGAATATTGTAAAACCATAAAAGGTACCTTGATGCCATTAGCTTCAAGCACAATTTTCTCTGCCTTGGCCTTGCTCTTGGGATAGGCCATAGTGTGTTTCACTTGGTATGGTGTGTCTTCATTGCCCCTGTAGAAAAAAAGAAGTCTAAAAGTTAGGGGATGCATTTGCTGTTGGAGAAAGTAAACCGATAAAGATTCCTTGACCCTCCCACGTGTATGAGTGGAATGTGC